CTTTCCACTCTCAGCAGGGATTTCATCAGCTGTCCTGCTCCTGTACCGGTAAGAGCCTATTACATCCCTATTCTGTACCAATTTGCAGCTAATATATACTGCCTCATCCTTCCAATGATGAAATTTGACCTCTTCAGCCTGAGATGACCCCCATATATATTAGTTCTTCAAGTTCTTGGCTCGATCTTTGATAGGCTGGTAAAGCAAGAAACCTTTCAAAACAGGGAGGTAGCCGGGATGAGAAGGCTGTTTTGTCTGCAACACTGCACACTGAATGACACTCAGTTTTGAGAAGTTTGAGAAGAGGGTAAGTTTGAGCATTAGAAAGAAGACCCAAAACTTAATTAAGAAATTGCTTTGCATCATCCTGCTGTTATATCTCCTGCTGCTGGCTAATTCCCTTCTCCTCAGCACCCAGAGCTTCAGGGGAAACACAATTTCTGAAACACAGCTAAATTACATCAAGACTGCAGTGACTTGAGAGCGCTACTGCCTTCCTCAACGTCAGATGTCTTCCCTGTCTGTCAGTCTGGTGCTTCCATTTGCAGTATTTTGACTTCCTAGTTCCAGGACATTACAGGCTCGCCTTTATGGATATCTATGGAACTGCTAAAATTGTTCCAGGCTGCCAATCATTTCTTGCAACCTCATGTGCCCCACGGAACAGGTTCTACAAAAGGCAAAGAAAAACCCAGGGTGGAGCACCACCCTGCCTCTTATCAAAACCTTTCTTTTGTCTGGGGTCCTCATGTACACCTCATGAAGTGACAAATGAAACATTCCATCCTACATTTTGGCTTTAATTTTCGTTTAATTTACTTGTGGTCCTACAGCTCTTCTATTATTTCTGGTTCTATTTTTTCTATAACATCCCAATTACATCAGCTTTGTCAGTACAGCATGCTCACGTATCTCGCACCCTGCCAATTATCTTTGCCCTAACAAATCTCATGAGCACAGCCTGTTTCTCGTGGTAGCAATAAAACAAATCTCCAGTCTTCCTTTGAGAAGTCATTCATGGTTTTCCACATTGTCCTTAAGAATTTTAAAATGCATTTATATATATAATTTTCCTCATGGCATTCTTTTTTGCCCACGACACTTCACTAGGTACCTCATTTGTTGTTTTTCTAAGCTATCTCTCCAGCAGGATTATGTTTCTTCACCAAAGTTTCAGCCTGTCTGTTCTCTACTGTTTACACAGTTATCATTAAATGATCCTGTCATATCTTAACTTTGCCTTTTTTTTTTTTTCTCCATCTTTCCCAGCAATATGTAGCCTGCTCTTGCTTGAGTACATGGTCATTAACATACACGGCACGGCTGCTGCTGTTGTTAGTCTCATTATTACCATAATGGCTAGGGCCAGAAGAGAGAAGCAGCTTTAGGCATTGTACAAACACAGACAATCCCTGACACAAAGGAAAAGCTCTAGTGTTGCTCAAAATAATTCTGAAAGCATTCCTATGAGTATCCTACTCTCCCTTTAAAATATTAATTTTTATCCATTGGAAAGTCACTTCCAAAGGGGATGTGTTCAGACCTTCATTCTCCTGAAAAGTTGACTGTTTTGCATTAGCTTTTCCTTCCATCTCATTTTCCAGGTAGCCTTAGTGACGGCATTTCAGCTACAACAGGTGAATCCCCACAAGACTAGAAAAAAAAACCCTCTAGCACTTGCTGCAGTTTCCTACATCCTTTTGGGAATGCAGCCACATATTAAGTACTAAAATAACATATGGATTCCTGGCTTTTTGAGAAACCAAGTCTTCATTTCATAGTTGTACAGTTTTCTGCCTGTGCCTGTATTTGCCCCCATCCCCCCTCCAAATAGCCCTTCTGGACTGCCTTTTTTATCATCATTTTGTTCTTGAGATCAGATCTTCAGACTGGAAATGTGTTTACTTCCAGCCAGCCACCACTGGCCAGTGCTGCACAATAAATCAGCAAGTTAAAAGTCATGCACTCATTTTGCTTGATCCACTGTCAGCGCAGGGACATAGTGCCGAGCCCCAGTGAACAGGATATACTTTGCATTTTGACAGAGTGCCAGCACTCATCTGCATTGGAGATCAAAGGCAGTGGCTGAAACATAGAAATAGCTTGTAAACAACTGGGCAGTGCTCATTAATACTGATTGATTACATAGTTTCCTTTCTGCTTAATTCATTTGTGAGATCATCGGTATTGAGCCATCCTGTGGAAGTAGAGACGAGCCACTGTGCCATAGAGGAACCTGATTTGGGGTCTTAGATATTAACATAAAATCAGGGTAGAAGCCAGGGCAGATGTGAAAGCAGCATCAACAGGCCTACAGCTTAACCAGTAAAACATGAAATATAGGTGGTGTACGTTTCCTAAGCTTGGTGGTTAGAGGACAAAGGAGCAGGTGAGAGCTCCCTGGCTGATTCCCAGAGAGACGGGCAATAGACCAGGAGATCTTGGTCCATCTGTCAGCAGAATTTTGGTACTCCATGCCTCCCCAAAACTTGGCCTCATCCTCCCTCTGCAACACGTCACCCACTTACAGAGCAGAACAAAGAAGTCTTTATATTTTAGGAGCAGGAGGAGAAAAGCCACCAAACTACAGACAGTCTGAGAGGAAAGCAGGCTAGAAAGCTGTAAGGATAGCATACAAGACATGCTTGTGGGACTGGTAGTGAGAAGAGCTTTCAGAAAGGTCCCCAGGCTCTTTAGTCCAAGGGTAGTTCTGTGAGGAACTGCAGTAACACCATTTGTTTTTATTGTCTTGCATCACCATGAAGAAAGGGGAGGACTCCAGGGTGGTGAAACCTTAGGATGTGGAGTCTCCAAAAGCTGTGCTCTGTCCCTGGCCCAGCCAGCTGGGGAGGTATTCTCTGGCCAAGAAGCTGCTTTTCACATATGTAGAATGGCGATAATGCTCCCAGCTGGTACTAGAAGGCTTAATTGATTAATATATGGAAGACACTGTATTAACACAATGTTATCATCGCTGGAAAATAAGGAAAGACTAAAAATAGCATAGTACATTTTGACAGAGCCTTTGTTATTTTCTTTTTATGTTCAATTCTTTTGAGTCTGTCTTCTTCCTTGTTAGGAAATCCTAATTAACATTTTCATTACCATTTCATTACAGGGTCCAGGTTTTGGTACTCCACAGACAGACGCTAATAATTCAGTTCCCAAATGAGATGGAGGTCTATTGGTATGGGAAGTGCTACAGATATACCAGGGAAAACCCTGTCCTCAGTACCCTGAACAGAGGCAGTGAAGGAGCAGTGACTTTGCTACAGTCAGAGTGAAATAGGTCAATAGACATCTGGTCTGGCATATGATATCCACTGTCACAAATTGTTTTGAAGTTCTGTTGAGGCAACTCTAGGGCTGAAGGCATGCACTGAGCACTGTACTCCCAGTGCCCGCTTCTATGTGTTCCCATACTGGCTGATGGGATGACTGTATAGAGGCAAGAAAGGGGCAAACTGAGCAAATTCATTATCTGGTTGCTCCCACATGAAGCATGAGAACAATCAGGTGTACGGGGTCAACACAAAACATCAGGCTCTGTGTCCTGCTTCCAACAGTGCCAGCATTTGATGTTCATGGGAGAGTAGAGATGGGGCAAATAGAGAACCATATTTGCCCAGTACATTTATTTTATACAAAATGTGTCTGAAAGTCTGTGTGTACAAATGTTACAGTAGGGAACAGGACTGTGGTCCTTGGATTGAGGAGTGGTATGACAAAGTATGTAGATGTGGGGAGAGAACTAGGGCCTCAGGCCATTCATACCCATTGTGCCTTCATCTTGTGTAAGGCAAGGTGCTAGCCACACTAGGAGCCTGTCTAGCTGAGCAAGTACTAACTCAAACCCAAACACTGTAATTCCACTGATTCAGGGTCTGCTGATGGTTGAGATCCCACTGCAGATCCTGCTTGATTTCCATGTCTATACTCTCCAGGTAGGCTGCAAGTAGGGGGCAGACCTAACACCTTGCTAATTCAGTTTATGTCTCTAACAGACGTGAACCTAAATTAATGGGCTTGAACACGTAAAGGCAGAACATGTGTCCTGGCTGCCCTCTTCCAGCTGGGGAGGAAAGTCTATAATGATGGCGTGGCAACATTAGTTAAATCTAAACTAATAACGCTAGAACAGAGGCTCGAGCACTGTGCACTAATCACCAACATTAACACTGTCCCTCATTCATGGCTTTGACATATTTCCAAGTGGCAGCATGAGGAATACAATCCCATTTTGAAGGAAAAGATAATTTAGCAGCATGGTCAGGGACTGTGCGGTGCCACATGCCCTTTGGGCCAGGCCCCTGTTTACTTACAGTGAAGATGCAGCCCTAGGGGCTCTCAGGAGCACAAAATATCAAGGCTCAGAAGGCAGTCTTTATTGCAGCAATTGAGAAAGCCTCTCCCCAGTTTATTACAGCAAATGCCTCCTGACATTGAAGTGCCAAACAGAGCTTTGGGCAAAACCTGTGATGAAGGAGGTTCGAGGGTGTGAGGCTCCTTTTATTCATTTTATTCCTACTGTAGCAAAATGACAGTGTCAGTAATGAAAGCTGTTAGTACTTGCATGAATGACCTGTCTTCATCAGACAGACAACAACATGAAAGTTTTAACAATACCATTAATAATTATACGTGGGCTGACTTATATGGGAGCCTCCCACCTCGCATACCCTGCCGAAGGAGCTGTGTGAAGCAGAATTGTCTGTGCATGAATTAATCATGGTATGAATCTCCGTGGCTGAGCTTTGTTCTGCACGTGGTAGCACACACTAGCTGCTTATTGAAAGGCTAAGAACTTTCCTCACTCCCCTTCAGATCCCAGCAACTCGTTTGGTGGAAGTGGAGAATACTAATGCAATGCTCAGCCGTCACCTGGCATTCCCGACACATCAGAGGACTGTTGCACCAAAGTACCAAACTCCATGGGGAGCGGATGAATGAGTGGGTAGATAAAAATGATCAGGGAACTTCTAAGTTCTTTTAAGATTGGAAACACATTTTTCTTGCTTTGCTCTCCTCTAGACATTTGTAAAGATACTGAATTCTTTCTGAAAACACGGCCTGCTTTGGTGCTTCTGAAAGCTCCCACTTCCAGAGTTTGTTCTTTTCCTTAGTTTTTACAGGCAAACACAACTATGATACAAGTGAATGAAGCTCTGCAGAAATATAGATGTCTCCAGTGACCTGAGCTTTAAGCCTAAAAGCCCTTTGGATTGGATATAAATGCTTTTGCCTTGGCCAGAAATTGGCTTCTGCAAGAACAACAGAAGATTAAGCAGCCCATCTAAACCCAGGTGCATCTTATAATGATGATATAAATTAGTTTCTAGCACTCATCCAACTCTTACGACTGTTGAAACTTAAACTGAAGCCGAGTGCCGTCTTTATGAATCAGGTAGCATATTTCTCAGACTCTAACTCCACAAGGGCAAACAACAGTGTTTTCTTCAATACCTTTAGCTGTTTAAAACTTAGTACTAAATTATACAGAGGCAAACAAGCTGGGCAGGAGGACAGTTGTTCCAGCCCAGGTCAAGGCTTCCCAGTCAGTCCTCTGGGCTCCTAGAATTTGGCCTGATTCTGATTTTTTCCTCTACACAGGGGTGAAAACAGCTAAACTGTTCAGCTCTCCCAGGGCATAAGTCCAGTAACAGAGTGGAAAACACCACTGTGTAGAAGCAATTGCAGTGCTAGTTTTCCAAAAGCAGTAATTACCCTGTTGGATTTCCCTTTTTTTCTGCTTGTTTGTTTTATTTGTTATTTATCTGAGCTTTGCTTTGTTTTCTAATTGCTTTATATTAACATAGCTAAGGATTTCCTTTGGGGTACTATGTTGCAGCTGGTGATCACTATGTATGTTATAAACGGTGAAGGCTGGATTTCTGGTTTTGCCTGTTCATTGTATTTCATGTTTGACTGCTGTTTCTCAGCGTTAACAGCTAAATGGTAAGGGTAGTTCTGACTGCAAAGCTTACGAACCTCCTGAATTCATGGATGAAAAGAGCCATGTGGCTCTTTGCAATACAACAACAGCCACACTTACCGAGGAGGACATTTCCTTTGCTCTAAGCTCACACTACAGGTGGTTTCTTGGAGCAGTAGCCAGATATTCTTTGAGCCCTTGCCCTCAAAATAGAGCCTAGCTTTACAGAAGTGGAGCACAGACTGGTATCTGGAGTGTGGTCTGCACTCTTGACCATCAGCTGGTTTATGTTTGACTTGTCTTTGATATGTGCAAGCAAGACGAAGCCAAAAAAAAAAAAGAAATACATTTTAGACATCTTTTGCACAGCCTTCTAGCACCCCTTTCTTTCAATTGCCTGGCTGTTTTAAGAAGCAGAGTGAGCTGCAGGAGAACTGAGTGAACTAAAGATAAGTGACTGTGGGTTTTACCAGCCTCTGGCAGTGGAGGCAACAGGCTCTGCATATTTATTGATTACAGTGTGCTTTACATCCTGGGAGGGGGTATTCAGAGCTAATGGTGGGTGTATTTGTTATGTCTGGTTCAGAAATCAGAATGAATAAATTATAAGCAGTGGAATGCAATTGGACTGCTAACAAGTTATTTTGACTTGCTTCATAGTGAGAGCCCCGCAGAGCTGTGAGCTCTGCACAGGTGTGGAAGGGCTGTAGATGTGGGGAAGACCATGCTGGATTTAATCACTGAACCTGCAAGTTGAGCAGCTGGCTGAAAACATATCCTTCCAAACCATGCATGTAGCCTTGCCCCACCAGAGAGCACAGATACACTCAGGCTGTGGGCCTGGTGGGATGTGGAGCTGGGCAGCACCCAGCCATGTCCATCCTCACATCACACTCAGATATCCCTGCTCAACACAAGTTGTGCACTAGAGCAAGTAAGAGGACAGCAAACAGAAAGAGGGCTTTTTTCTATTAGGAATTACCTAGGCCACCACAACTTAACTCTCCTGAATCCACAACTTCCTTTTAAATATTTTTTGGTTTTGTCCATACTGAGGGTGTTTCCAAAGCCATCCTCAAGGCAGAGCTGGTTTCCTTGGTAGACAGCAAGGCTTGGGTGCAGCCTGAAGGCATACGTTCAGTGCCCAAAAACGGCCTCAGATCTGACAATATCCCACATGGCACAGCCCTGTCTTGCTGGTGGCTACACTTCAAAAAGTCAACTGCAACCTTTCCAGTGCTTCTCTGTGGGCTCCCACCATTGCTCTCAGGAAAGAACAATTATCTGGCTACTAATTTGAACACCACTGGCATATCTCCTCCCTGCCTGTATACAGCACCAAGACTGGTTGGGCATTTTACTGACTTCATCTTACATTTAGTCATTATTCAGCATGATTATTTGTCAATGAAATGAGTAACTAAGGCTCTGGGCCCCCTGGGAGTCTTGATAATTATTTTTAGTAGGTTTTGTTTGTTTGTTTGTTTTGTTCCAGCATCTTTTCCCAAGGAAAAGAAACTCTAAATCATCTGTAAATATAGGACACTTGGAAAGGAGTCCTTTATTTTTATTTTATTTTATTTTTTTTCCCATAGCTTGGCTTACATGAAGAAAAAAGCTCTTCCATTTGGATTACAGGCACAATTTCTAATCTTTCTCTCTGCTGTGGAAAGATTTGCTTGGGGAATACAAAATATTATATACCTACTGTTTGTGATAAATTTAATCCTCTCCCCAGCAGCAACATTAGGAGCCTAATTTGCATTTACAACAAAGTCTAGATAACAATCCTTTTACTGCAGCAGCATAAACAGCTCCTCATGTGAACGGCAATCAGGCCTAGTGTGTCCCTATAGATATGGGTGGACACTTGTGACAAATAAGAATTTCATTCATTTACATCTTCATTTTGTTAAAGGTATGTTGGAATTGTTCTTGTCACATCTGAAGTTGGAAGGGAGGCAACGCTTCCACCTGAAAACAGCAAATGGGAAGGTGAATCAAGGTCTCCAGAGTCCTACAACTCTTTCAGGGTGTAGTGGTGACTTTTCTCCATGACTACTAGGGTAAACTGAAAGAAAGTGATCTGGTTTGTTTCAAGGGAGTATTAAAGCCAGTCAAAGAATGTTTAGGGATATTAAACTTAATTGGAAAAAAAGGTACCAGAGCACTTCACCAGAGATGGCAGAACAAACTTATCCTAGAATGGACCAGACGGATCATATTTACCCTCAGAGCAGGATGAAGTAGACAATTTCTGGGGGTCTTGCTACACAGATTACCTCTCTCTGCCCCTGCCCTTATGAATCACCTCTGACTTGGTGAAACCCCTTCCCCACTGGAAAAAAAACACAACACCTTGCACTTTGCTGCCTCCTTGATTGCGTGTGTATCTAGCTCCTGTGACTGTATGATATCCTACCTGTTAGTCTGTGACTGTATGATATCCTACCTGTTAGTCTGTGCTCAAGGAGTCATATGGCTGCATGAGAGCCATGGGTTTAATTTCTTTATGGCATTATGTTTCTAGCTCATTTCGCTGCAGGCAACAGTTTGACATAAAAGCCCTAAGGAAAACAAGAAGATACCAACATTTGTTCTGTCTTCCGAACCCCTGTTTTTAAGCTAATTGAGTTTTGGAGAGCCAACTTCTGGGTTTTGCACTCCTGAGGACAGTAACTTCATGAAAGTTTTGTTTGTTAGCTGATATTATCTAGCACAGCTCCCTCCAAAGCAGAACAATGAAAGGCAGTATCGAGTGTCCTGGAAGCCACCTTTCTCTTTGAGGAAACATCTTGGGAGAAAGAGAGCTCAGAAAGACCCAGGTAAGGTACTGCAAGGTCAGCACAAGCTTGGTGCTAAGCTCTAGACATGCAGAAGAAGGCAGACCCTCTGCACCTATCAGCGTTTAATAAGCACTGATGGTTTTACCTGCCATCAGCATCTTCACCTGCAGCCTCTTCTCTCTTGTACTCATCCTCTTAAGAAATAAATAGATAAATAAAAAGCCCCTATATCTCCCTCCCTCTGTTTTAATTGCTTCATATAAGATATTTTCTGCCTTGACTTTGTATCAGTTTTTGCCAGTAACTGGCAGAAAGTGAGTCACTCTCAGCAAGCTGGAAGGAGGCCAAGGGCAGGCAGGAGAAGGGATGTGAATGCTGTTTTCCCTGCTGTGGCAGACCCCTTCTGCTGTGCTGCTGGTGGGTAAGCACTGCTCTTGGCTCTAGCACAGGGCCATATGGTGGAAAGTAGGTGGGAAAAGCCTTCCCCATCCAAAGAGAAGCCCTCTTCTGTTGTGTGCACTCAGGAGGTGGTTCCCGTCCTCACTGCAGCTTTTCTCTCCTGCACCTCCAGAGCAAAGACGAGTTGTTGCATTTTGCAGGAGAGCCTTGGTTTGGTCCCATACAGAGACAGCAGCAGGTGGTGGATCTCTACAGCCCTGCTTCATGGCTCACCATCTCCAACAGGTCACGGGCAGGGAGGAGGCAGGCGGTCCCTCTCCTGCTCTGGGAAGCACTTTGTGCTCACCGTGTGCTGGGTCGCTGCCTGAGCCAGGGCAGAAGGAAGCCCTGAGCTCTGTGCTCTGTGCTGTGCTGGGAGGAGCTGGGCTCCGAGGAAGTGCCAGAGGCAAGATCTGTCAGGAGAGGTAATATTTTTTATGGGAGCAATTCACAGAGGTGGATAAAAGGGACAAGCTTTAGAGCTCCCAGGACCTTCTTCGTGGCTGAAATAGGAGCAGCATGAGACGAGCTGGGGAGCTGAAATTCATAACTGTGGACACTAAACATCATGGGCTCTATAGAGATATTGGTTTTACGGCACATTATAATTCTTATCCCCTCCTCTCAGCTAACAGCTTCATGTTCCACAGGCAGTAAATTACCTGCTGCTCTCTTTTTTTCTCTCCTTCCCAGAGGACTGAATGACTTTTTTACCTCTCCTCCTGCTAGAAACATCCCTCCTCCACTCACCGGATCCCAGGTACCTTTTCTCACCCGAGGTGTCACCAAGTTAATTAAACAAATTAAACCCTGAACAACTGTTCTCAGTTTGTACTTAGTGCTGCAGCTTAGGTATGTGTGCCCAAAAAGCAGCTCGTTTCAAGCCAAATATATCAATCGCGTTAATAAAAGGTATTGTGCTTAAGGCAGGTCGGTGCTGCTGTATAAAGCAGGTGTGCTGAATTTGCAGTCATACTGGGAACTTTTTCTGGTGTACAGAGCCTCTGTGCAACATTTGAGCTGTGGACAATTGGTAAAGGTGATTTCTCTGACACCCAGGAAACTGGGAGCTGGTCCTGAACTGCAAACAGTGCATAAATGGGCTCATTTCCAAACTCAGGCAATTTGAGCTGCAAATTATTACAACTACCGTGGGATCCACCTTAACTTCCAATAAAGGATCTACTTTCTGAGACAGGCAAATTAAATGCAGAGCATCCCTCTTGTCTCTTACCAGTGATGGGACTG